CCGATTGGTAATTAAAGCGAAGTAGGAAGATTGATAGACTGATAGAGAAAGGGCTGGAGGGAGGGAAAATGTTTAGAAAGGGAGAGATGGAGTGAGTGAGACACAGAGAGAGAATAAGAGAGAGAAAGAGAGAGAGAGAGAAGAGAGAGAGAGGGGGTGAGAGGGGGGGGGCGATATGGAAAAAGAAGGGGGGGGGGGTCAGAGGGGACTATATAGGTATATGATTGAATACATGTATTTCTTCTATAAATCTTTCTGCACAATTCAATCATTCTTAATCCCGCATCAAGTGCCCTGAATACTGGTAATGATTTTACAAATGAAAATCTTTTTTTTTACCAACTGTAACGTATTGACGTTCCGTGAATTTTTTTCTCTCAAAGATTCAAAGATTATGATGCATAGTAGATCAAAAGTCGATAAAAAGCACTCACAATATGACCTACTAGACAAAGTACTACAAAGATTTGAAAGTCAGTTAAAACCTGAGTAATTCCGCCTTTTTGTAATATGGTATGGTAAACAAAGCATCAATAATATATTGCAAAAAAAGGAGTCTGCTATGTTTTTTCGTGAAATAACTGTGTTCTGAGGGGCAATGTGTTAGTTTGTTAGTGTGTCACACGTTCTCCTGCCCAAATTATCTTCAAAGTCTTCGATGTTAATTACGAATCCTAGGTATTTTTGTTTCTCTCTCTCTAAATAATAAAGTAGAACGAGCCACTTTATTGGCAGGGCAAATCAAAAGCCAGCAAGGCAAGAATAAAATGCCGTAGGATAAAAATCAGAGGTTCGTGGAACACCGCCGGCGTCGTGACCCGGTGAATAGTCGCGGTCGATGTCGACAGGTCTGCTGGCGGGCGACGATGCCGGGCAGACCAGACGATCATCGAGTTGGGTGGATTCAGCTTTGATGTATTTGGCGCGCGAGTATATACAGAGGGGGTGAAACAATGGATGCATTTGAGCAGTGATGCTGACTGTGCCATACTTTTGACGTCATTCGTCAGGAAGAGAGACTGAGGAATAGAAAGAGAAAGAGAGAAGGGGATGGGGTATAATAGGAAAGGGGAGGAGAGGGAATGGGTTTAGTAGTGAACGAGAGAAAGAAAACACATGCACTAGATTAACTATAAATATTTATAATAAGGAAAACTCATACCATATAAATAGGCCTATCGAGAGTAATAAGTGAATCTTGAATCGTATCTTCTTCCTTGTGTGGTAGACATTGACACCCAGGACAACTGTAAATTGCGTCAGTCATTAATAATTTCGAATGCTCAGTAGGCGTAAGGTCTAAACACACCATCCACGTGATTACTATGAATATTCATGAAGGTATACTTTAATCTTTTGACGCATATTGTCACCCAGGGATATCAAGATAACGACTTTCTTTGATTGCTGCATAATTGAAAATGATAATGATCTAGTCAGGATGGATAAAGTCAACAGGGCGGGAGTTATTCATTTTCTCTGTGAGATCTTTTCTGTTACGAAATTATGATATGGCTTTGGTGCTTAAAAACTCATTTATTCTAAAACTCAAATATGAAGTGAAAAATGATTGAGTAATGACATGTATTTGAGCTTGAGACATCATTTCGATTGCGAATTATATCGAAAAGGTAGGAATGTTCGTTGATAACTCACTATCCTAACACTTCATTATTAAATAACATGTATTTTAATGTGTTCCAAGATAAGGTTATGTTGTTGATGTATTTTGTTCCAACAGTTAATTGAAACATAAAAGCTTTATCATTGGAAAAACTCATTATCCTAACACACCATTATTAAATAACATGTCTGATAATGTGTTCAAGATAAGGTTATGTTTTTGATGTATTTTGTTCCAACAGTTAATTGAAACAAAAAAGCTTTATCCGTGAATCATCTGTGCAATGTGATATTCATGTCAGCGAAAAACCCACGTGCCACATGAAACACATTTCAAATTACCTACAATTTTGTCTTTGATGAACGAGGCAATGCAATATCAGATAGAAAGGGAATCAATAATTGACTATGTTCAACGTTTGGGGTTTTCCCTCATTCGTGTTACTCGCGTATACATACGTCAGAGCTTTATCTGAAATAATACATAACCACAAAGATCATAGTTACATGCTCCAAAAAAAAAGAGAAAAAGAATAACCTTGTAACCAAGAGAGTAGACCATAATTATGTAACTTTATGATTATTATTTTTATTTTTGACTTTATCCAGTAAAGTAGCCTGTGGAGGGCTAAACAACATAAACAAACATTCTCACTGGCTCTATGCTCAGCGGGGCCGGTTATGCTTATGTTTATGAATGATTCAAATTCAGGAATGCCTGAAAATGAATACATCAAATGACCTTCATAAGAAGCTTTTCAAAAATATTTAAAACAAAGTATATCCACCCACTTATTTAATAGCGGATGTTTGTAAAATGCTTTATGGTGTACGTAAAGGACAAATCCCCATGGGCGTTAATGGAAATACTGGCTTCTGTTTTGCAATGTACATGTACGTTAGCGTTATGTTCGCACTGATTGGTATTCATGTAGGGTCACGTGGTACACATTATATCATAATTATGACAAATTTGATAATGCCATTACGTGCACATAGAGGGCTAAAACAACACAAGTATGCTCGGTGAAGGTAACCCTTAGAGATTTTGGCGCATTAGGACCCCGTCTTCTAATCGCAACCGTATTTGCGATTTATAACAATCGCGACTATGTGCATAAGAGATAGGAACCTGTAAACTTGCGATTGATTCGGATCAACTGTAACTCTTTAAAACACAGGGCTCATATTATAAAAAACCAACTATATCACTCTGAATATTTTTTTTGATAAATCTAGTGACAACGTTTAAATTTTAAATTGGTTTTATGATGAAGACATTTCTTTTTTATTTAAAAAATATTCATAAGCAAAGATTAAACCACTTTTGTAAACAAAAAAAATAGTCCCAAGTGATTGGAATAAAGAAATGTGAGAGAAAATGTCAAAAGCAAGACATGAAAGATGGTCATAAGAACAAAGAATGAAGAGGACAAACACACGAAGGTATATTTGAAGAAAAAAAATCAGATGGGGGAGAAATTGAGAGTGACATAGAAAAAGGAAAGAAAGAGAGAAATGTGCAAACAAGATGCAGACAAGATGCAGACAAGATGCACGAGAGAGGGATAAAGAGAGAGAGAGAGAAAGACAGAGAGAGAAAGAAGAGAGAGAGAGAGAGAGAGAGAGAGAGAGAGAGAGAGAGAGAGAGAGATAGAGAAGTAGAACGCTTAGATTATGAACATCAAGGGACCATTAAAACATATTTTATGGATCGATTTTTAAAAGCAGCTTAGGAGAAACCGAAGTCTCGTTTAGCGGGACATACCCATCAAGTAATGCATTAGTGTGGCCTAAAAAGAAAACGGTGCATCTTCAATTTCAGCACGAGCAAGCCATGCGAATACTGCTATGTGAGAAATGAGGCAAGAATTATACATGGTGGTTCTTTTATGACTTTAACATATTTCAGTATTAAAGAGAAGAGAATTGTGTTTTCTTATGACATTAACATATTGTAGCAAATACAATGTAAATCATAACACGTCATTGTCATAAATCGAACCCCCCCCCCCTCAATGACAGGTAATTATCTAACTATATAAATTACTAATGTATGAATGAGCCCCTGGTTGCAGAGTAAGCAGACAAATTACATTGTCACCCTTGTATTGTGATCCTAAAACTATAATATCTTGAGAAATATATCAGACGCCGATGCTTGGAACTCTCTTCAATTACAAGACATGATTTTTGTTTATATGATGGACCATTTGAATAAGTTATTGACAACTAGTAACGAAGAAAAAAGGGATTTATACATTCATCTGGATTTATCATTATATTGTAATTTCCTGTGAATTACGTAATCGACCATGACCTGACGTCAGCAATTGCCAGTCTCTATTGCCATACTTGAACTCAATGGCAAAGTACGGCACTGTCATCGTGGGGGGGGGGGGGGGGGGGGGGGGTCTCACTCGGGAAATTAATTTATTGTTTAAGTTGCCAAGCCTTATTGTGTGCCTGGTGACTCTGTACCTGCACCAATGCTGAAACTATACCATGTTTAAAACCTTGTCTTGTCAAAATATAATATGATATCAATCTCAACCTGAGTTTGATATCAATTGCAACTATATGTGCACAAAAAATCAGTCGGAACTTTGTGATTGATTGGAGGACGTCCGATCGATTAGGTTCCATTACAACTCTTGAAGCCGGGAGTATAATGTGTAACCAGTGTATATTGCAATGTCAATATCATTACCGATGTCTGGATCATTCGTGCATCTGTACACCATTTCCCTACCCTTGCTAATGCCGTCGTTTCTTTCCACACTCAGTCTTTTGTCTAAAATCAAATATATTATTTAAAACTAAAACAAACATATTATTTTGTCATGATAATTATACGTGGCCATAATCTTATAAAAATCAACAACTTGATCATTTGAGAATTTGAGAAACAGAAGACGGCTGAGAAGGTTCAAAAATCATTTTTCAGTAGAACCTCAGGAAAAAATAAGTTATCAAGTGTCTGTCTTTGATAGAGAGATTTGTTTTTTTTGTTAAATAATGAAGGGCGTTATTTGACTTCATGAATGATTAACTCTGATTACATGTATGATTGTTCTATATTAATGTTCATAAATGTTTTTCTTTCTTTCTTTCAGAATGTAGCCGTTTTCGCGACAGTGGATCGAGAACGAGCTCGTCCGATGTTATGTTTTTAGATCTACCACTCTCCTCATCATCGCCTACGCCCTCATCCTCCTCCTCATCACCATCGTCATCATCATCATCATCCCCTCTACATTCAAATTCCCCATCGTCATCGTCACCGGGGACGACGACCGAATCGTCCATTAAAGGGACGGAAAGAGACTCTTTATCGATCAATGGAAGCAGCATTGATCACGAGAAAGCAGCAAAAAGCCATTTGTGCAACATTACGCATGCGCATCATCCCTCGGAAAGAACGAACCAGAAAGATGATATCGAAATGAACATCACCGTATTGCCATGGCAACTCAGCATCACAGTGGCCAACCATACATTGAGTATTAAGGTAAGGGCATCTCGATATTGCTCAAGGTAACAAAATGTTAAGTATTAATGCCGAATAATATATCAGAAGAAATAGCTGGTACGTTTACATCTATAGTCGGCTAATATAATCAAACACCGAATTCTTTAATACTCGCTCTTGAGCAGCTTTAGGATAATTAAGAAAAAATAAGAACAACATCAACAATAATTGTACTAGAACTACTATGGATGTAAAGTCATGCTTGTGCATCCTTTGATTTTCCAAAGATAATATCTCTCTTTCTCTCTCTCTCTCTCTCTCTCTCTCTCTCTCTCTCTCTCTCTCCTCTCTCTCTCTCTCTCTCTCTCTCTCTATATATATATATATAATAGGCCTATACGTATATATATATATATCCCCTCTCTCTCCCCCTCTCTCTCTCTTATCAAACAAAACTATGTGGACAAGTAAGACATTTTTTCATCCCAATGTTTGGCGTTGTATATTAAACTCATTCCACAATCCTGCTCTTCGTTTCAATCATTAACGCTGTATAACAGACCTTGTGTGCACGCACATCGTTCTGATGACGTTCTGATGGCCATCACTTAGACTCCAGCACCCAATTAACACTTTAATATTGATCTATCATTAATTGAAATGCTCTAGATTATTGATTGATGAAACATTCCCTTGCCGCTAGACTCATCAAGCGACGGGGCAGACATTACATCGGTTTATTTATAATTATAGTTGTAAAGAGGTCGCTGGAAGTAATTTATTTAATTGGCAATATGTATTTCATGATTTTATTTATATATTTAATCATTGATCGTGAATTGAGTTTTGTTTCCCTATTTCGTTTCCTTACATCTATCTTGTTTCGTTTTACTTGGCAAACACATTCATCGTTTTCACCTGAGCTTCATTCGGATCTTCAATGTATTTGTCCCATGCGTTACCGACTATGATATCACATTGTCAATTATTTAGAGAGAGAAAGATAGAGAGAGAGAGAGAGAGAGAGAGAGAGAGAAAGAAAAAGAAAAAGAGAGGCATGTTTCTTGAGCATTATGTTTCTTAACGAACATTTCAACAATGCTCGATTTTAATCAAACCAGTGTCAATATTACCCCCCCCCCCCACCACGTTGATTTGTCAACGTACACATCTTTTTCGTATAATGTTTACACGAGATCATGCTCTTTGCCCCCTTCTTTATCCTATTAAGGGGGCACCCCCTCCCCACCCGTCATCATAACATGTAACGTTTCGTTATTGGTCGCGCATGCAGGAAACCTTTGTGTCTCTGCTTAAAGTCTGAGCCTCATTAATCATCATGTGGATTATAAACTCTTCCTCACCTCTCATCTTCAATCTCTCTCTCTCTCTCTCTCTCTCTCTCTCTCTTTTTTCTCTCTCCCTCCCCCTCTCTCTCTCTCTCAGGGAGATCAGAGCTAACTCTAATTTCACAAAAATATTTATATCTGTTTGAATAAAAGTGCCTACACACTTTGACTAATTGGAAAGCGCAGGTCGTCATCTCCGAGCCATTGTTTCTAAGTATACCAGTTGATTGGAATTCAAATAAAAACACGTTTGTATATGCAGTGGCAAATCTTCTGTGACACAACCCTAAGCCTGCTAAGTTGATTGCTCTACTAGCGAGTATTGCGCTGTGACAGTTTCTTGAGTCAAAATACAAGATAAAGGGATGTAAGAAGCTGAGACAGGGAAGATAATAAGTACACGAAGTAATATTTTAAAAAGAGAGACATTAATCAGAAGAGAGAGAGAGAGAGAGGGAGGGAGGGAGAGAGAGAGAGAGAGAGAGAGAGAGAGGGAGAGAGAGAGACTGACATACCATGCAGACAGACAGAAAAAAAGGGGAAAAAAAGAAAATGTGTATTAAAATGTGACGAAAGTGGGGACCCTAAAATAAAAACGTGTTAATGGAAGAACAACAAAAGTAACAGTAGATAAAGACATTTAATGAAGAAATTAACATGCCAGGAAAAAAGGATAAAAAAGAAGAAAGAACACTACTATGGAAAATATAAATATGGGAAAATGAACTCCAGAAGAACAAACACAGGAAGAAGGAGATGAGGAAATGAGATTGGGCAAAAATAGACACAAGGCAAGCGCAATATTATTACTTCAACATATACTCGCTCATGCAGTCTAACAATAGCCCGTGTACAATACCCCTTCTAACATGTGTAATAACTTGCAAGCGACAGTTAATTTCCGGGGGTAGATATGTGAGTTTGATGGGTAGATGTTTCATATTGCTTATGCTGGAGAAGAAAATGCCGGAGCTTAATGCAGCTCGGATTCGCGTTTGTCATGCCTAGAGCTAATGCCAAGGAGATTCAAGTTAGAGACAATGAGTCTTCTTCAATCGATGTAAGTGAATCCGACGAATGGAGGGGGTGGGGGGGGGGGGGCGAAAGGGGGGGGGGTGAGAAATACAAATATCGATGCAATGAGTGAATGAGGGAGGGAGGGAAGAGTGGAGAGAGATAAAGAGAGAGAGAGGGAGAGAGAGAGAGGGAAAGGGAAAATGGGGGGGGGGGGTCGATCAAGATAGAAAGAAGGTAAAAAGAAGTAAAAGGGTAAACTGGAAAAGGGAAAAATAAAAGAGTGTATGATAATCTTCTAATGATAATGATCTTGATTTAAAAAAAATTATTAACATAAATTTATGGTTGATATAAAAAAAAGAAAAAAGCATGTGATAATGACCAGCGCAAGAACAGAAATATAACTAACATCATAATGAACAGTGAGGTTATGAAACTTCCATCGCGTGTATTTTTACACAGGTGGGGGCGTCCCACGGGGGGGGGGGGGGGGAGGGATATGAAATGACAAGAGAGGAAGACAATCACGTATACAAAAAGACTGAAATTATCCAATCGGTAGAACAATGGATAAAACCAAATATGAAGATTTTAGGACGAATAGAGAAATAGGGAAACTGGAAGACTTCAAAATATACAAAATGCATGAGTACGAGATGGTAAACATGTCAAACATTTCGGACAATGATTGCTCTACGAAAGAGGTTTTGAAAAGTACATTCCACTTGTAAATCGTAAAAGCCGACAATGATTTTGTAACTATCTAAAACCATCAAATAAAATTAATTCAGAAAACCTCAATGTTATTTTTAATCGAAACGTTTGGAAAATTCAAATGCATAATACCATTTTGCGCGCGTCTTTGGCTTTGGGGAACGTATTTTACAGGTCTAACCACATTGTTATGCTTTCGGACACTGTTTTCAAAATAAAGATCGGCTACCGCCCCCATCCCCGCTTTCTTTCTCTCTCTCTCTCTCTCTCTCTCTCTCTCTCCCGCTCTGTTTACTCAATTGACTGCATAGCTGTATTCAGAATAGTTACTTTTCACGTTAAGTTCACTTGATTAGCTCGCTGACATTTTCCCTGAGAGGAGATACTATCTTCAGCATGTCATTTTGTAAAAAAAGTACTTAAAAACACTGCATTAATTGCTTTCCGTTCTTGTACACGACAAAAATCATGATTTCAAGAGCAAGTCAGGTGATGTTTAAATTATTTTCTTGTATCATATGATGTTTACTGTGTATTTTACAAGACAGTCAAGAGTTAAATTAAGCATGGAAAGGTAATTAATGCCGCTTCCTCTCTCTAAACAAATGTATATATTTTTAATGTAGGCATAGGTAATTCCCTTGGTTTTTATTCCTGAACCCCCTTCCCCTAAGCCCACCACACCCTATTTTGAAGTTCTTCATTCCGGGTAAGTCTACTCAGCATCTAAAGGAGTAGCCATTTACAACTACCAGAGTCAGTTACACATCTACTAACCTGCATCAAACAACAAACCTTCATATTATAATCATAATAATGAGTCAAATATATGGGAAAAAAGATTAAGATCGGCACGATAGTTGCATCATACTCTCGTATGTTCGTTGTTGTCATCACTAATTCTCTGACGAACGTTTTCATCCCCTTTTCTTCCACACTTCTCTTTCAAATGGCTTCCACAATCATTGCTGTACATCTTGTATGTTAATATCATCGCTGTTCTCGTATGTTGCGATAATACAATCGTGATATCATTATCATTATCGATGTTTTTTGTTTTGTTTTTAATCCAATGTCTCTAATCCCAGTGGACTGATACAACTGGAGCCGAAAGGTTAAAAGGATCGATCGTCCGGATAAATTACAGCTGTTGCTTCCATGATGTTCTTCTGCCGCCGTGTCTTGTTTTCAAGATCGCTGGATCAAGATATTGTAAGTATAATATTATTCAGGAAAGGGAATATTGAGTTTTGCTCGAAGAGAAGAAAAATTGAAATGATTATGAGAGCTTCCTCGTTCGTTTTTATTCCTATTTCTGGAAGAATATTATAGCAGAAATGTCACTTGAAAACCTTTCCTCTTTAACTGCTCTCGTATTCCGAATTGGATTAGAAATAGTTGAGTTCTGATGGATAGTGCTCAGTTTACATGCAGTCTAATTATGATTTTGTTAAGATAATTTGCTTTCAATTTCTGCTAAAATATTCATGCTGTCATTCTAAACTCTATTCTTAAACTTTCTTCACTCAGCGGCGTGTCCATCAGTGTATGAAGCCAACGGACGCCCCTTTCTATTTTTGAAAGCACGAGGGGGTGCCGAGATTCACCAAACCTCATCCCGCTTATTTATATCTGAATACGCCACTGACACTAACGTTAATTATCATAAAGTAGAATATAATAAAGGGGCAAAAAGAAATATGCAATTTGTAAGTTTTTTTTTCTACATGTTCCTTATCCCACAAATATTGCGATGCAACCTCCTGCCGTAAAGAGGTGCACGGCAGCCTGAACGATCCCACCTTAGCACACACGTTATTAAACCTGGATGAGCCTGGGGTGATTCTAACTTGATTTCCTCTCATTCTCCATCCAAAATGCCTGGATGAATTCCTTCGAAGTGATTAATAAATAACCCATTCACCCTTCCCTTCCTGGAGCTCGATCGGTTGCCGACAATAATAACTCAGGTACCGAGTCAAGAACCGTTCGTCAAAAATCTAATTACGGTGTCGTCAAAAGACAACAAGTCTTCCCTGGTGTTGCACTTCATTTTCACATCCGCTGGCGGTATAGAAATGAGAATCTGAAATATAAATAAGTCTGTAATGCATTTTCCCGTCAGGTATCAGTGACATTAGATAGAAAAAAAGAAGAACATTATCTAGCATGTCTCTAAAGGTAGGGAGGCGGAGAAGATGATTCTTACTTCATTTTGATTGTGAAAACAAACTGACTTCCTCGCGCAAGCTCAATTAACTGCAAAATCTCTGATAAACAACCCCTATCGTGTTGCCTTCATGGGTTATTTGGTTTGAGTGATCCTTACTGAAGATTGCTTTTGTATTAATAATATATTTTAAGTATAGTAATGCCCCAATTAAATATTCAAGATCAGATTGGGCTGCCCAAATTTTCATTTTTGAGAAATTATTTCGTTCTTGACATTGAATAGTTAGCTATAAAATAACAACTCGAGCATCCCCCCCCCTCACTCCCTAAAAAACAAGGACAAAACTGTACAACGAAAAACAATTCGAGGAACGTTATCCATGGATCAGATCTTGCAATACTTGAAATATGAATAGGACTGCAATGTATTTTCCCGTCTGGTATCAGCGACATTAAATAGAAAAATGAACATTATCTGGCATATCTCTAACGGTAGGGAGAAGACGCTTGGGATGATTGAAGATGACTTTTGAGATTCAGAGGGTCGTCTTTCCCCCTAAAACTGTATATGTTATCACTCTTGTTCTGAGCAGATAGTATGTGGAAACGTATGTTTCTACCATGTCAACTGAACCACATAATTGTACAAGAATGGCAAAATCTGATTGGAGCATTCATTTTCACTGTAAGATATTGGATCTTTTATTTCAATGATCGTATACTAGTTTGGCATGTGGAAGCAAGATGTATGATATTCCAGCACGATCTATTCATAACGTCATATAGCTTGATATCTCTTGCTTGGCAACGTCCAATACGACTGGGTTTACTTTGCCAAATAACAAGCATTACATATCATACCATTCAATATCAAGACGCCTGCAGCTGTTTTTATATTGCTTTCATTCATCTCTGCAATAACGTCTTCCCTTCCTGAATTTTCTCCCTCTTTTCCTGTCTCTCCTACTTTGCTCGCTTCTTCTTTTACCTCTTGTTTTTTTTACCTCTCGTTCTCTTGACCCCAATATCCTGCCACCATCCACCATGATTTTAACTTTTCCTTTTGATCCCCATCTCCTTTTCGTGTTCTCTCTCTCTTCATCCTTCTTTATACTCTTTCCATGGCTTGCTAGAATAAGTATACTTCGACCTGTCGCAGAATTATGGTGTCATAACGAAAGAGAGCTAGAGAGAAGGTGAGAAAGAAAAGGAAAGAGAGAGAGAGAGAGAAAGAGAGAGAGAGAGAGAGAAAGAGAGAGGGAGACAGGGTGAGAGGCAGGGAGAGAGAGAGAGAGAGGGGGGGGGGGGAAGAGAAAAAAACCTTTGTAAAAGACATAATGACAGTCCATGTTCAACAACAGTGGGAATTAAAAGAAGAGAAGGAGATAGGGAGGGGAGGGGGGGGGGGGAGGGGGTGGGGGGGGAGAGAAAGGAGTTAGAGAGATACTTAGTAAAAGAACGAAGGGAAAAGAACATTATTTAATTTTGTTTTGATCAGAATATAGAGATGTAAAATGTCACTCCTCCCTTCCTTTCTTCATTCAAAACGGAAGTAAACGTGAGAAGAATTTGAAAACGAAAGAAACCGATCGATTCCGATGTACCATATATTGAAAGGTGAAAATTGATTGTCTGCACTTTGAATCAGACCTCTTTATAAGTACAAGAAACAGGTTCACAGTAATAATGTTCTGGTGTGAAGGAGTACAATTTTATTGGAAACGTAAGTGGGAAATGTCTGCATGTTAAGAATGAGAGCCTAGGGAGGAAGGATGTGCAATTGGCAAATGTGCTTTTTATTAGAGACGATGGATGTGTGCTTTGCTGAAAGCCCCTGAGAAGCTGTGATACAGTGTGATCATGATGCGGGTCTACCATCACTTTGCTTGTGGATCGGACAAATGTGAAATGTTGAGGGGGAAATGGCCATCGTTAAAGATCAGATCAATGTGTGTTAAAATAGATCAACGAGTCGGTAACATTGAAAGATCATGCCTCGAAATAATAGAAAAGTTGTTGGAAGTTTGAATAAAAGAAACTTGGCAACGAATTGCAGGAAATCGTTCGAGATGGTATTGGAATGTAAAGCACATTGGTGCGACAACATTGACAACGGGTATGACGACAAGTTTAATAGTGGGTATGACGGAAGTCGGTTGCGGTGATATCAGGCCAAGACAGCACAATAACAAGATGGAAACAATATGGAAATGATCTGGCAGAGCCATCTTACATGTCTTATAAAATGGTTCAAAATGAATGGGTGCTAGAATGTCGTTGAATATGGTCGTATAATGACAGACTGTCAGAAAAAAGGGGAGAAGAAGAAGAAGAAGGAGGAGAAGAAGGAGGAGGAGAGGAGGAGGAGAAGGAGGAGGCAATCTGTAAATTTCGTCATATCCTCGTAACGTTCTTGGTTACTTTTTTTCTCTCCAGATTCTGTAGCAACCGATGTTCTCAGGCAATCAAAATCAACGCCATCTACGGCAGGGAATAGGTTAGGAGTGATCAGCGGTTCTGGCGATAGTATGACGTCAATTTTCAATACCTCGGCGACGCCAGGAGCACCCATCGAATTTGTGACGAGTAATATTACGAATGCAACGACGGGTGAGTATACTTATTTCTTCTGCGGGGTGATAAAGAAATAGGACAAGATAGGAGGATAGACAGGATAGGCGGGTGGAAGGAAAGAATTACTCAGGGGTGGATCCATAATTGTCAGAAAGGACGGGGGGGGGGGGGCGGTTGAGTCTTCCCGGGAACATGATTTCCGCATACTATTTTTCCGAGAGAATCCCGCAAGCCGTCCTAAGATCGGGAGTGTTTTTACCCATTAGGCTAAAAGGCGCTTGTTTTTCACTCTTTTGCCTCCTCCTGAATACGCCTTTGATAAATAAAATATCCTAACAGAAGAGAATATATGAGAATACTAAATCACTGATGCGGAAGGTGCAACAACATCGATGGAGAAAGAGACTAGGTTTAATTATAAGCATAGATAATAAGACGATTTAAACATGACGAGATTAAAAACGTGACGCATCTTTATAACGTGAACTATGACGGACCAAAGCTGGTGGCACTTTACTGGTGTTAATGAATATGAGATGCCCCCCCCCCCATGTTCCACTTCCTTCTCCGCTGTCCGGCATTCAGAAAATAGTAATAATAATAATACAATGAAATGATGCCCATCGGCACACCGACCAGATAATGACTCAACCTTGAACTAAAGAGACGGAGGCAGAGACAACTGAATTTAAGGTGCAGATAATAGTAAACACTCAAGTATCAAGAGAGATATATTTAGAGCTTAATCGTTTTTTTTCACAGAGTTGATTAGACGTGTTTTATTACAAATAAGACAGAGATGGCAATATAATGATTGTAGCACATAATGATTCAACATCCGTTCAACCTTTCTTTATGTGAAGTATTTATCATTCACTGGCCTTCTTGACGTCAAGGAATATAATTACAAATAATTACACATTTGTTTCATATGATCAAACGAGAAGAATCAGACAGTAAGAATGCAATGGCGTCACTAACAATATTAAATGGGATGGAGGGGGGGGGGGGGGGGGGGCTTATGAATTTGCCGAAAGTACTAACAACCAACAAAGACTTCGAGGGAGGAACAGTACAATTGGTCCATCGTACTATTAGCTCAATTGACTTGGAAATTAACAAAATATGTGCCAACAGTTTGACATTGTTTTGCAAAACAAAATATTTTAATATGACTGTCACTCTCCCATCCATTCTCTATCGACGCCCCCTGAGAGTAACCCTACTATCGACAGTTGATGGGGCATATTATGATCCGAAAAAATACGACCCCCCTTACCAATTGCTTGGAGGCCCGCCCAGACACCCCAACCCCTGCCCCCAAGCTAAGGTCACCTAGATATGCCACTGCCCATGATATGACAAGTCGAATATTGCTTATCTTGCTATGTGTTTCTAATAATTGATTTCTGCACTGCACAGCGGACGGAATGACGGCATATGAAGAACGTCTGGAGGTGATCGTGACGGGGCTTTGTGTCGGTGTCGCCATCCTTTTCGCATTCTGGTTGGTTTGTTTTCTGGTAGAGAAACGATCTCAATCAAAATATATGTAAGTGTTATCTATCCTATTTTTTCTCTCTTCCGTTGATCCTCTACTTCCTCCGACCCCCTCTATATTTCTCTCTCTTCTCTCTCTCTCGTTCCTATTCCCTTTCTCCCAATCAATTCATAATGATCATGGTAACCACCATCCACTAGATGGTTAGTGAAAACAAATAAAAATGTTTCTCTCTCTCTCCCTCTCTCTCTCTCTCTCTCTCTTTTCTCTCTGACTCTCTCTCACCACACTTTATCATCCCTCTCTCACATTCCTCCATTTACCCTTCCCCTTAGTAACAACTATCACAGAGATTAACAAATTTCAAAAACATTGTAATGTAATGATAAAACATTGATTAAAAAAAACAGATATTAAACGATGCCAGACTTCTCCAAGACGTCTCCGAGAATGTGCTCGATCAGAGGTTTGTGAATTCAGAAGCAGGTCTTATTATTTGGCTCGCTCAAAAACAGTATTTAGAAAATAATCCACAAACGAAGCTGATATATTGACGTTTATACAACTGTATTGTAAATGGACGGTAGTATTCATTTACGAAGATCATGTGCATAAAAAATACGTCATAATTGTCTTGTATTGATTTCAATGACCTGCAGGAAACGAGGATCAGATAAACAGAATGTTTCCCAGACGAGACAGTATCCACATGAAGTAGCAACCGTCAGAAAAACACTCATGGTAAGATGACCCCCCCCCCCCCCAAAAAAAAAAAAAAAAAAAAACGATTCTCCAATAGATATAACAGTAATCCAGATTCCGACGAAGTATCCGACAAGGCTACAACCCAAGTCACATTGACGCCACCTACCCCAGACCGATCAAACTACATTACTTCGAATAGCGCATCGGTCGTTTTGAAGTTGGTTTCACGATGTGACTGCGGCACCTCTTGCCATCTTGGAAGAATGACTCCATAAAGACAAACGAACGTGGCCCATTTTTTCATTCTACTTTCGCATGATTAGTTAAGATTTTAGCCGAATTAATGCATCATTAGTCATGTCAGCTATACTATTGTAAGCCAGTCAAATTTGATTATTCAATAGAAAACCCTCTATCCCCAATATCCATATGACTACACAACCTGCGATAACGAGACTCTTTGTTTTAGTTTTTTCCGGATTGCTCTACTTCCAATTTATTTAAAGAAACAGCGTTAATTTAAGGGATCTTAAAGTAAAATCGTCTCTAGATAGGCCCCTCCCTCACTGTGAAAAATTTGGGAAATTTTATTTCAACACTTTGCCCAACGTTGTGCCATAGTCAACCTAACCATCTATTGGGCAATATTTTACCCCAGTGGTATTGGTAAACGTAAGTACCCGACTTCACGCGTGTTTCGTATTTTAACCAAAATTTGGGCAAAGATACGGTAGCCCACTTGTTGGGAAAATCTTGACCAGCTTTTGGGCAAAATACTAAAAAAATTATGCAAATATTGCCCCATTGATGGTTGGGTTGACTATGGCACAATGTTGGGCAAAGTGTTGAAATAATATTGCCCAAATTTTTCAGTGCTCTAACAACGCTTCCTTGCATGCTCACTATGTTTATCCCTGCCATTTGCAGGAGATCTACGACATGCCAATGATACGGGTAGCGAATTCAGACGAGGAGGGGTCAGAGAGCGGGTCGGGTCAGTCGACGGGTTCCCGCGGTCGGAGTCGACTGGAAAGTGAAGGCGACGAACAGAACAGCTCGACCAATATTTCGTCATCCGACCAGCCGACCGGTGCCGATTCGTCGTCGTCGGAGGATACGCTTCGTAAGAAGGAGACGAAGAAGAAAACGACGTTCGCTGATCCGAAGGTACATCTGGATATTCCGAAGGTACAGTGTAGGTGCGACATATCCTTCCGCAACAAGAGCGTTGCTGACAAATTCCTTACACTATCCGAATTCCTAACATGGACTCAACCGTAACCCAATAACAGTCACCCTCAACCTAACCTAGAACCCGGTAGAAACCCTTACCCGACCCTGTGATATTTGAGCAAATAAAGCTCGGAGCAAATGTGGCTGAACAAAATTGAAATGTTGCATATTTGACGGGCCACTACACGGACATGTCCCCGTTTGGTAAAATGTTGTGATTGATCCGAATCGTGTGCAACTGAACTTGAGATAGATATCAATCGCAATTCTAGTAAGTTTGCGATTGATTGGAATATTAGTCGCAACACTACAAAACGGGGAAATTGGTGTGTCCAGAGATGCATGAAGGTATTTCGACGTTTACGCTAAAAGACAAGATGACCAAACGTAATGTTCTATTTCTTTTTAACCAAATATTTACCAGCAATGCGTTATCATCACAAAATTATTCCTAACCACTGTTTTCACTCCGATCCAGAGATGTCTGCTTTGTAGTTTCACAGTCGAAAACGTTGACTGGGACTGGGATCAGGAAAATCCGATTATCACTTCTGCATCGTGATATAATTATAAGGATATAACTGACTGGTGTTTAGTCAAATAATTATGTGATACATGTAGTAGGCATGTCATGTTGGAAGGCTAAATAATTAGAGGGAAACCTGCGAAGTTAAACCAAAGAGAGACTACGGTACTTTGAGAACTCCGTCTCTTGTGTCATTCATGGCTTTATTTTCATATCAAATCTAATAGGGGTTGTGATTGTTGGATTTAAGACGGCATCTAATACATTATGCCCGAAACTCACTGATACTCTATTTCTTAATCATCATTTTCCTCAAATTCCCTCGCAGGAAGGCACCCCTGAGAAGTTTGGTACGTGGCGCCCTGTAGCCAAGGCAGGATTGGGGTCACCAGGTGAGGTGCGCTCCAACCGCTTCATAGCCACCTCACCAACAGCTCAGCCCAAACGAGCGCTACTAGCTGGCGGTAGGTCTCCGTCAATCCTCAAGAAACCCAGCAATTTCAACGCCAACAAATCGCCGCCGAGTATACTACGGTTCTCCCGAGGTCGCAAGATACGCGAAGACCCGACGACGATAGAAATGAACTCCATGGGCGATCACCTCAACCACGGCTATTCGTCGCCCAAGAAACATTCGAAACTGGTCTCTGCTCTCAAGAGCTCCGACTCGAGAAAGCATAAACGAACTCGGTTCAAGATGGACGAGCCAGAAGACATCGGCAACTGCGCAGGCGCAGGAGCTGAAACGTCGGTACCCGTGGGGAACAAAGCTCTGCCAAAGCAGTTGGTCACGTGCGAAGTGCACTTCGAAACCCCTCTCGCCCCAATCCTAAACGGAGAACTCGAAGCCGAGGATGAGCTGGACGACGATGATGAGGATGAAGAAGTGACAGAAAGGACTCCACTCAAGAAAAATGTGAATTTTGTGGTGGTGGAGAAGGGTCTCGCAAGTAAATGCAAGTTTAATCTGAGCTGGGAGGATACAGACGGATTACCATGTACTGACGTATGACGTTAGTTTGGCTGGAGTTTGGCTGGAGTTTGGTTCAATAACGCGCAGATGATTCTTCACGCCAAACCTGGTCTCGATGCCAAAAACTTTGTGTTTTTATCGCAATCCTGCTATCACTTATCATTCTATACTACGATAATACGAACAGAGAAATCTTATTCTTAATTGAATCAATTAAGGTCTGCACAGTGTGAACTAATTTTTATCACGCAAAGAGCTTGCAAAGCAAAGCAATGTATCGATATTATTTAAAGTGCTTGTCGAGAAGTGGAGAACACTCCCACGCCCAAGTTGTTTGAATATAATTTTGAGCATTTTTTGTACATTCTAAATTCTGATAAAGTTTGACAAGTTGAATTAAAAATGAGTTTACTGCTTTTTTAATATAATAGGCGAACCACAGGCCCATTTTACACTTTATCTAGAACAAAGAACACTTGACTGTTTTAATCCATCACTAAGAAGAAAAGTTGCATCATCTAAAGAATATATGTGAATTTTCGTTGCGTTCGCGATGTGATGGGTGCTAAATCGCTGGTGCCTAACGTTTCATATCGAAATTTTTCATACATACAGCAGATTCATCTTAATATGAAATAGATAATTCAAAGATATTATGTAGCTTCACTTTTTTCCTTTTGCAATCAGTGCTTAGGCGGAGATGTGCTGGGGAGTGTTTCACAAAGACTTTCACAAAGATCGACTTAGCTTGGACTTGAACTATGGCAGGCCGTTCATGCCACTGGTTGCTCTCACCATTCATGGCATTGGTCTCTGAAGGGACGTACAAATCGTGGTCACAGATCTACATTTTTTGATAGTTCATTATTGAAGGGAAAAAAAATATCTTAAGATCATAATTTTAAAGGTTTTGTCCTTCTATTTGCATCTGGTTCAAGGCTTTATAAGGGCATAAATCACATACCGTAGTATAAGTCCAAGTATTAAATGTAAATCAAGTTTACGATGTTTTTTTTTTTACTTCTTCAACAATTAACTATGAAAAAAGTGTAAATTCTGTAGATTTGTGAAGTTCCTTGAGAGACCATTGGCGAGAGCAACCAGTGGCATGAATGGCCTGCCATAGTTTAAGTCCAACTTAAGTCGATCTTAGTCTTTTTTTTTAAAAAACACCCTTCTGGATGCGCATACGACATAACACATACACTTGAGCATTCCAACTGCGTACATTCTCAGAGCAATAGACTTTTGATACGCAAACAATAGGTGAGGGTACTCAAGCGGGATGACAGTGATCAGGTATTACTATCATCATGACAAAAAAAAAGTAATATTGCATTGATGATTTCTCGGATTTTTATATAAAGATTTACATGCAGCCTCAAAATCATACGGAGTTTAACATTTATGAGAAACAGCATATTTGTTTTACAAGTATATCAGGTTATTAGATCAAATTAATAAAAAATGTATTTAGTAATAGTGAGAAATGTAGGGAGAAAAACATGAAATAATGCGTTGTTTCATTTTAAAATCTTTTTGGATATAGGCGCCATGCAAAAAGGGTAGGCGAGATGAGCTAAACTGTATTTTTATATAAAACGAATTTGAACTGATAATATGTTAATATAATATCAATAATAATATACATGTATCATTACAGAGAATTGATTTATGAGAAAATGTGCAACTGTTATCGACAATGAACACATGAATGATTATCGTCAGTACTTGTATTTTCTGGTTCAATAAAGAGTGATTAGAATGATTATGATTTAATAAAATGTATGCAACATATTACTAATTGTATTATTGAAATATGTGTAGAAGAAATAATTGTTGAGAATTATGATGTATATTGTACACAGAATGCATATGAGAAGTGTATAGAACCACTTCAGGTAGAATAATCACTTCATTTAGTGCATTTTTGAGACACACAAATTAAAGTACAATCATGACAATGATAAACGCAATGAGAAATATTTTTGTGGTATTTAAGTGTTTATTTATATCATTTATACTCTTTTATATTTAGCAGGACAGATTGTAAATCATTTGAATATCACTTAATGTAATGAGAGATTGTTCATAGATGAAATCGTGTTCACTGGAATATATAGAATAATAGACTGGAACAAATATCTAGGTATTAAAATTGCATATATTGGAATTGTTTTAATAACTTCTGCCAAATTTGTCAATGATATTTGCAATTAAACTTTGATGTCTCTAACATATATGTTTTTCATTAAAGAGGTCATTATTATACTTATTGAATCAATTAATAACTAATCTTAACAAATTGGAGTTGGATTTGTCAAATAAATCAAGAAATTCATTTGTATTAGATTAAGTGATGATTGCAATCTAAAACTCAATAAATACTTTTATCTAAATCCCAATAACATGGATAATCTTTTATCATTCCATTTCATCTCAACCATTCAACTATTCAGCGATAAATACTACATTCTAACATTAAATAACAGTTATAAAGTCATTAAAAAATATTTGTGGCTTACATCCAGTCAATAAGATTGATTGATCGATCTGTAATTGAAAAACAAGTCAGAACAAATCTTGAACCAGCAGGCTTTGAACCTGTCAGATTTGTTCCGACTTATTTTTCAATTACAGATCAATCAATCGATCTTATTTACTGGGTGTAAGCTACAAATATGTTTAAATAATTGAAAAGTTCTCCCAGGAAGCATTACATTTTTGTTAAAGTTATAAAGTCTTATTTTAGACATATGATAAATACATTCTTTATGAATTTAGTTGTCAAACAAATTTCGTTAATGGGATGTTCATATTCTCTATCAATAAAAACAATGAGAATAAACAGGCATGACTATAAAGTCTAAAAGGATGGCTCCAAATTATTATAATGTTCTTGCAAGGCATACTTTTTAAAGAATAAACACAATCAAATGTTCATCCCTCCTACATCTTTCTATACACGTAAAAAGTCAAAGATATGCTTTTAAGTAAGCAACATGGATCCAAGACCTAACTTCTCGACATACCAAAAGAGACCAGTGTCACAACTTGGACTCAAAGCCAGTGTAGCATCTCATAAAACCATCATAAATAAAAGCTTGCCGATCTCCCATTGAAACCTGTGTTCATTTCATAAAACAATGTTGGCAAAATTACACTTGGTAGCTTAGCATGATGTAATGGCACGAAAAGATGCGATCGAACACAAAGAGTATAATAGTTAGTGATTTTTGTGAAAATAAGTTTTTTTCAAAAACATATATGATTGAAAGGTTAGGTATAAACATTGAGCCTAATCGAGATAGTACATGTACCGGTATTCACCTGTTCCATACTTAAACGATGTGCTTCTACCGTTATGTGATGAAATCATTATTTCCAACAATCAAGCATTTTGTGTTCTAGACACATCTTGTTCCACTTCACTTTTGCCAAGCTATCTTTGCTGGTTTTATGTGACACTGCCTTGGTTCACCACCTTTACAAACCCTCATTTATTCTATATACTGAGCCATACCTTATTGTCAAAAGATGATGATGACTTCAATTATATGAGAACCATTCATTACTTCTGATGGACTCGTAAAACTTTTCTCAACACGTGTAAGACCCACAAGAGGTCTGCGGAACTTGCTCACCTGAGCAGATGAAAGTAGGGACCTCGCAATAAAGGACCTAGCTCCCATCCCCTTTGCACCAGGAACTGAAGATTTATTAGAACAGTAGGGCAATTTAGGGGTGTTGCTCCAAAGTCCCCTGCAAGGGCAGGTATCCCATTCAAAAAAAATTAGGTTTTCTTCACATAAAAATGGTTCCTACCATGCTTAGCCAGAATCCATACCAACATTTTAGTATGAAATCACATCTACACTTCATGATCCATCAGGAGCAAGTTTAAAGAGATATCCTTGATTTAAATGGAATTTTTTTAAAACCCATGTTTTGACAGTTCTCAAGATTTGTGCATGCACATTGTTAAAAGTTTGTCGTGCTTGCATTGCTGTTTGGATGTTGGATATTGAAGGCTGTTCCCAAGACCCCATGGGGGCATATACCTCATTTGAACAACTTTAGATCTCCCTTTCCTGCAGGTAATTCCTACAAATTTTGATGAGAATTCAGCAATGGATGAGAGTTGAGACATGTTTCTAATTATCTTTACCTTTTTCATTGCCCATCTTGAGAAATACACAAACAATATTTCACACACAAAAAAATTCCAATTGATATATCTGCTTTAAATTTCAAGAAATATTTTTAGTAATTCCCATTAACATGGATTTTAGCAGTTTTAAAGAGAAGGTAGAGTTCTGATAAGAGGTGAAAAATAATTTGTGAGCGTTTACATTGTTATTATGCAAGTGTGGAAGAAAATGTGCCCTGAAAAGTATGGCTCTTCAAATGCCTCATATTCTAATTATGACATGTAACAGCTTAAAAATGAGGACCACATTTTTATGCCAGATGTTTGTGTAGTCCCATATAAATCTTTCTGTATACAGTGCTTGTTACTTTTACCAAGACTGGGCCAAATTTCTCATCATTTTGATGATCCCAGAACCTAACAGTACATACCAATACTTATATGCTATATGATCAACCTTTTCTGATCGATTCCACATCGCTTCTTTCACAAAGCAATCGCATAACCAGAACTCAACTTTATCTTTAACTGCCAACAGCACTGGAAGACTAAGGTAAAATTCCTCATTTTGGAATAGATTCTAGGACAACTATCAAACTTGTGAGTTGAGATAGTATAATTACAATGAGTGACAAGAGTAAATGTTGTTTAATCCCTGGAAGCTGCAGTTTCTCTGCAAAGATGATGTAATGCATCACATACCTCAAACACCTCAATGTTTGATGAAGCACCGTGGAACACTTCTCCCATCAAAAAGGTAAACTTCTGGGATTCTGTGGAAAGGGAACAGATGAAATAAAAGTGGAAAATGCATTGTAGTTCGTAAATGAGGAAGAGGAGCTAGAAAAAAAAAGAAACAAAGAAACAAAGAAGAAAGGAAGACATTTCAAAAATCGGTCCATATGTTTTTATGTTACTCATCCCTAAGGATGCAGCTATATTTCCTCTGAAGTGTTTTAGAGATATATTGACTGCTATGAGAGGTCTGGCTTTTTAATAGGCTCAAGGGCCCACCCAGGCGTGCCTCCGGGTCATGGCAAGATGCAACGCCCCCGAGAGCCAATATAGAAACAGCCAGACCTTGATTAGTAAAGCAGTCGATATGTCTTTAATATACCGGTACCGAATTGACACAAAAAACTACCAAGAATTCTTACCTTATCCTTTTCTTGAGTAAAGATTGGTTAAAACATTACAGAAAATATGAGACACTGTCTGATAATCTTTGCTGGAAAGATGACTGAATATTACAATCATTTGGGAATCGCAGACAAAAAGCACTGCATGGTATCTGCGCTCGCACATAGTAAGTTTTAACATGTAAATCAATGGGATCTCATCAAAATTTAACTATTTTCCCGGTACCCAGAATCTTTAGGGAATCTCACTCATGAAGTATTAACTGTTACTGGCATTGTTCGTTTCTTTACGGGAATGGCTAAAATCACGAATTTAATTTCGAACTTCAAACTTTCAATTAGTGCTGTAGTCAAACGTTTAACCGTCTGGTATCCGACCGCCCATGGCGGATTCCGTTTTCAATTGGACGGTTTTGTTTTCCCGTTTTTAAAAAAAAAAAAAATTTTAATTTATTTATTTATTTATTTTTATTTTCGATTTATGCCCCTCCACCTGGCACTATGCCAGGCAATGTCTCCCAGCTTAGTAATCTGTGTGTTGACTCACCACTCGGAAACTAGAACAACACTCCAATAAGTAAATCTTTGTAATAGATCTTGATATGTAGTTTATTATAATAATTCATCCAATTTTTACACATGGCGTACCACAAGGTTCTATCCTAGGTCCTCTACTGTTTTTAATTTACATTTATGATCTTACACATTCTTCTAAAAACAACATTGTTACTAATTGTTACAAATCGGCGCCTTCAACTGCACCTTGCAGTTAAATAAAAGTCCTTCCTGCTTTTTCACACAGACCCGGCTTACCCGCACCCCAAAAAAAATAAAAAAAAATAAATAAAATTGTTTAACCGAAAACCGTCCGGTTTTGACTGGCGGTTAAACGGAATTGGAGATATCCGTGATGTTACAGCCCTACTTTCAATGACATGTTCCTCTCATTAATTGTTCTTCTATTAAAACAAAATAAATATCAGGGTGGGCTTCCCCCTTTAAAGTAACAACTAAAGAGTATTATTTCTCACACTGGTTCGGACAGTCCCTACACACAAGAAAGACTAATAATACAATTTTATGTCAACGGGGACGTAAGCCAACCTTGCACGACGTCAGCACAATGGTTCTCCTTCATCGTCTATCAGAATTTTGTGTTCATTTGACATCGTCTTGAGCGGCCAGCTGGAGAATCAGCTCCTTCAGCTCACCCCTCTTCCTGGTCACACTGGCCTGGGTGACGGCTCCGGTTAGAGGAGTCCCTTGGAAGTGATGCTTGCAGACATGCTCAGCATTGCAGATCACAAACAAACCACAGTCGTAACCTGTAAAACAAAACATACACTTCATGTCAACCTCTTCTATGTCATGGTCTGCAAATCCCCACCAAGGCTCTGAATGTTTGACGAAAGTTTGGAACAGACAAAAATATATTTACATGTAATCCTGAACCAGAAACATGAATAGTCATTGTAAAGATTATTCCCAAAGAACATTTTTGAAATACAAGAATATAGAAAAAGGACATAATTTGATTGAATGCTTTTACATGACAAATAATAATCTTAATTGCAGAGAATGGGGTAATGAAAATACTTTATTTGAATAACCAATAGATACAATTTCATTTTTGGTATACATAATGCACATTTTCTCCATAGAGCCCAGCCCAATTTCTCTTGGGGTTCATACTCAGCAGGTAAATTAACATACTTTAATTCACTAGAGTGTGAATAGAGGAACTAATTTATAATATTCTTTCACAAACTGAACCAAAACCTGATAAACCTATGATAGGAATCATGTTAAAATGTGTGATGGCATAACTGTTAGATTTAGTGGCCATATGCACTTGGACTCCTGTTAGTTTGAGCCCTATCTACAAACACTCACAATTTTCCTGCTGAGTACACTGCTCTTGGGCAAACATGACGTGGGCTTTCTCCAGACCAACATGAGGTTGCATCTTCATCGCTATCTGCCTTGCTGCATGCTCGTTGAAAGAACCAGATGAGTCGTAGTGTCTGAAAGTACTATCTCTTCTGGAACACACCAGCAAGCTCCTGTACAATGGTAAAGAAAAAAGGTCATAGCTAGTACAGTAGACATAGTTAAATCAATGGAAATCACCCTCGTTGAGCAGTCACATTCATGGGGTACTGAATAGTTCCCTCCTCCAGGGACTGCATGTAGGAGTTCCCTATTCAAAGCTCCATGAAACTGTTCTTTGAGCAAGTGCACATTGGCATGTCACAACCATCTCTCTAAATATACTATAGATGGTAAATGTCAAAGGCAGACTGGTAAAGATTACAAATATCTGATTCTAACAGAATCCTAAACAATTTATGATGAAAGTTTATTGCAAATTACCAGCCCCAAAAAATTAGTAATAAATTTATAAGAACTGGTTTATAATCAACAGATGAGAAAATCAGGTTAATCAGGTTGTGTGTAGAATACAGTCCCACGCATGAAAAAATGTGCTGGCTTGATAACTCATTGATTAGTTTCCAACGTATAATTATATTTCCACATAGGCCTAGTGTGCACATTTCCAAATTCACTGATCAATCCCCTACATATATAATTTGTACATGTAGTTCAATTGTGTGTAGATTTATTAATTTACTATCTGCCTCCTACAAATAATATACAGTCCCAAATATTCATACATGAACATGCTAAGTCACAAACTGGTCTGTCAGTTTGATATTCCATTCTTGGTTTCATGCACCTAGCAAGAAAAATAAAACTCTACTCACCAATGGGATCCACCAACAGACGTGTCAGAGTCATTGTCATTGATGGCTAAAAATACAAGTTGCTTGAAGGCAAGATTTAGAGATTCCAAGAACATCCCAACCTCTGCATCTAAAAGAACAACAATTAATGAAATAATATTTATTAAAAAACATTCACAAAAATATACACTTCAACAAGGTAGATGGAGAGAAAATTTCAAACACTTGCTCTTAAGCCAATGTAGTCTTGAAACGATTCTATATTATTTATGGTCATAATTTACAAGGCAGATTAATCATCAAGAAAGCAAAGTGAAGGATTGTCCTCTGACATTTAAATCATCTTATTTTTCCATTTACAAAATATGAATACTTGTAATTTAAGATGCATATTGAGTGTTTACAATTCACAAACTTCAACATAACTGCATACTTTGAATACTCTGACAAAGGTATATTTTAGGTATGTTACACAAAAACCATTGATATGAAGGTGCACATTATGTTCTAGAGACTTTTAGAATTATTCAAGGCTTCATGAGGAATGTTTGAAAACATGTGCAGATCATTTTTGTTAATACCTTGAGATAACTTGATGAACTGAGCTATATCAGGCCCGATGAACGATACATCATCTGAGAAGTCCTTGAAGAGGTCATATTCAAAGTATCTGCATGAGGAAATTCAACACAAAATGTTTAAAATATTTTCTAATCTCATATAACGTAAGTGTTTAAAGTTGTATATGAACTCAGAATGTACCAGCTTAACCAAATGCATATAGTGACACATACAGACACATCTGGAATACACAAAGCCATTGAACATATGATTTGATATATTGGAATGGTAATTTTGGAAACAATACAAGTAAAAGGCTAAGCTAGCTCGAAGTCCTAATGACATGGACATGGACAGCTACCTACAGTAAGTCATGCCTCTATCATCATCATCTATATTATTATTTTACTATCGATTCATCATGTACAGTAGTACCATTACCACTGTGATATGTATGTTGGGTCTATGCTTAAATTTGGCACACACATGTTGATGCAATCTTGCATCCATGTGTGTTTTAAACTATGTACACACAGACTAGTATGTGTATGTTTTGCTAATTCATGATTTGCAGCATGAAAAGTAAATTGTGAAAGAAAAGCAGAGATCTAGACTATCTTCAAATTCAAAAGACGGTGGAGCCTAGGCCTTACTGAGCAACCATGTACATAGATGCATCACTTAGGTTCAAAATGTGAGCCTAAGTACGAACAAAAAAGGTAAAAACACAACACACAATTAAAATACAACGTATGAACATAGACCTATTTGACAATTCTGCATGCAGACTACCTTAAAGAAATATAAATTTACAAACATCTTTTGTTATATATGGGACCGAGATCAAGATGTGGAAGATCTTGCACACATTACACTCTGTCAAATTCCTGCAGTCATTCACCAAAAACTTACTCGAATGCGAAGGCAATCACTTGGTCATTCAACCATCTTGGACCTTCAAGTAAGGCTAAATCACTACGTCGAAGAAGGCAGTTGTTATAACTTAGAACAGTTGGCCCTGTACTCGCCATTTTGAAAGAGAAGCTCTGCCGTGCCTGCTATGTGTACGTATGGTACACGCTGCGCTGGCACTCGATATCAGGGTTCTCATACAGTAGACAGCGCACTAGCAGACGATGGTCTCGAGGCACTATTGATATTTGGGTATCGCTCTTTATCTCTACGAAAAAAAAATATATGCGGCATTGTTGAATATGAAATCAATTCATATGCAAAGAGGATCTATAATTAATCCGAAAAAGACTTTCATACAATATTTTTAAGACCTAGAAAAATGTACTTTAAATAGTAGGTTTAAAGGGATCGTTATGTTAAATCTGAGATACACGGCCCTACGTGTTATCAGTGTCTGTGATATGATGTAATATTGAAGCCCTAAAAAAAATTGCGCTTCAAAATGATCAAGAAGTGTCTCAAAAAAGTAAAAATCTTTGAGTGACCGGTTTTACCATACTCGTTTTCCCCAATAGACTGTAGTGTTATGAAAACCGTCAGGCGAACGGTTTTCAAAATTTGTAATTCCAATCATAAATATCTTGATAATCAGACAGGCGATCGGCTTGTAAAAGTCACGGGGTTCCTGACTGACCTAAAGGTTTATAATTATCATTGCATCATGAGCTAAATCCAGAATATGTTTTCAGAATCTGAGACAAAGTTACCGGATCCCTTTAAAGGTACTATGTCCCCGGCCCCCCCCCCCCCCCCCCCCCCCCCCACTCAGGTTTCGAAATGACCGCATGCGTGTTGCCAAAATGTCCGGTAAAGGGGTACTTTTCGTGCGACAAAGTCCGGCCCGAGAAATGTAAAAAAAGGGGGTGTATTTGACTTTCACCCGGAGATTTCTTTAAAAAGGGTTTTTTTTTCTTTCATCTCTTTGTAATTAAAAAAGGGGGTTATAAAATATCTTGAAGTTGAACATAGAAAATTTGATGAAATCCCGCGATCAGATTTCAGAAATTCCTGCTAGTTTTGAAAGCTCATTCAGGATTATTTCATTATGAAAATGAAAAACATTGAGTCCCATGCACTCCCGTCCCAGTACGGCGGCAGTACGGACTCCTCAAAATCTGTGTGAGAGAGACGGAAAGAGAGAGATAACAACAGAACGTATAGTCTGTATACGGCGCATCCGCTAGCTGCACGCTATAGCGCTCAGCCGCATGCATATCGGGCTAGGCTCGGCATCAAGCCGGGGCATCAAGATGGGGTATGAGGCTCGGGCCCTGCCAAAATTGTCATGATTGCGACGTCTTTGAGCAGGACCCACAGTCTCCTAGTTGTGGATATTGTGGCTGTCTACCTGTGGCTCACAGGGTGGCACATTCAGGTGAGTAGTTTGCCCTATAGTTTGATCGCAATAGTAACACTTTCAAACTCATTTTCCTACACCCATGAAAATGAATATGTGGGACTTGGATCTAGACAGTTTTGTACTGTAGTGTAGGCTACCCTAGTTCACACACAGCTGCATTACTAATACTATCCTGGCTGTGTATTAAAGGGATCGTTTAACAATGTTAAATCTGAGATGCAAGGCCCTACATGTTATCAGTGTCTGTGATATGGTGTAATATTGAAGCCCTTACCAAAAATTGTGCTTCAAAATGATCAAGAAGAAGAACTTGAAGAAGTGCCAACCAGTAATGACAGCTTATCTGAGATGAGTGGGGGGGGGGGGGGGGGGGGGGTGGGGGGGGGGGGGGGGGGGGGGGGGGGGGGGGGGTGGTGTCTGCATGTCCTGAGATAGGGGGGTACATTGAGCAGTGTTCCGGATTTAGGGGGGTCTCCAAGGCAGGAAAAGCCCGTGAAAAGCCCGCGAAAGGGGGGTTCGGAAATGTTGGCAGTACTCAGATAGGGGGTCTTTTCAAAAAGAGGGTACAAGCATACGCGTACCCTAAATAACACTGAGTGGGGGGGGGGGGGGGGGGGGGGGGGGGGGGGCGGGACTATGTCCCTTTTGCAGCCAACCTCAAATTCTGTAGAACTTTGCAGGAATTATGAATATGTCATGTATGTCCTATCTGTGAAATTTAAACGTTAGCAGTGTCCTCATAATCAAATTATGCAAGGAAACCTGTTTACTTGCTAGAATTCACTGTCAGACACTATTGAGTGACTAACTGGCTTTTTTCCTTCTTTGGTAATAACATACATGAAAAGAGTTGTAAAGGGTACATGAGCATTTGTCTACATCAATAACCCACTTCTTGTGATGGCCAAGATTAAACTGATTGAATCTTTGCGCAGCATAAAACGTATGACCATTCGGTACAATGTCTGAAAATCAAGACTATTACTTTTGGGCTCTATAGCCCTAAAGTCGATTTGACAACTAATAGTTGTTATATTCCCACTTGAAGACATTTTCAAGCCCCATCTTTTTTAGGGAAGTTCTAAATTAGTATTATCTTTCAAATGCAGTTGGAATTTAACTTTTTCATTTTTTTGGCGTGCAAATGGGCCATAGTACCTTTAAGGGAATTTCAGTTTAGAATGTAAAATGAAAAAATTACTTATACATACTAGAAAACATTTGGTTGCATTTACATTTTCAATTAGTAATAAATGGAGAGACCTGTGATAATTCATTTTTTACTTGTGAAAAAGAAGAGTTCTCTGAAGAGATTGTGGTGATTTATTCAATTTATTGGATATTATTAAAAATATAAACTAGGAGGGAATTTACATTGGTGTAAAACTGAGTTTTAAAATAATGTATGAAAGGAGCAGTTAATTAATCACAATATACTTTTAATCAAATATATGATTTTTTTTTAAATAGCGGAACTCAAAATAAACCCCCATATCCTCAAAAAATTAAACAAAGACTGCTGGGAAATGAAGGAGAGGAAAGAAAATAAGCTGAAGAGCACCGTACAATACACCACCTTGGGAAATGGGAAACTTCCATACATAGGAACATAGGGACGACGGGGCGAATACATTTATTTTCGGATGGAAAAAAAGGAGAAAAAACATCAACAAGAATTATGAACATGTACTTTTGCTTTCCTTTTATTATTGCAATTCATGTTTAAGCCAAACTATCAATGTACAGTGCATCCAGTTTTGTTATGAAGACTATGAATAATTTTGTTTAATATGAATGATTTGTAGGCCTACAATATGTATGTGATTTGGGAGAAAATATATAAATATATTGTTTTAATGGTATCGCTAGAGCTAGAGGTGAAGGTGGGGGGGGGGGATAGGCCGAAGGGCCGACCCCTCCCCAATAATACCTGCCGTCGACAAGCCACCAAAAATAATTAATTTGTTGATTACACATTTCTCTAAACAATCAGAAGAAAAAGATAAGAAATAACAACTGATAGGTGCACTTTTATAGCAGGTCACCCCTGAATGAGGGGGGGGGGGGGGGGGGGGGGGGGTCTTTCCCAACATGACTGGCTACGCACCCGGGTCCAGAAATGGCGTAGAAGGTGTCCTTCTTAGCTATACGTCGTCATCGACGTTTTTCTTTAAAAGGTGTGTTTTCAAGCACTGATCGCACAAAAACCAAAAAAACCTTCTTAGCTATACGTCGTCATCGACGTTTTTCTTTAAAAGGTGTGTTTTCAAGCACTGATCGCACAAAAACCAAAAAAGGGGGTGCATTTTCAGGTTCACAGGTTCCGACGTTTACTTAAAAACCATTCAAAGCCGATTTATAACAATTTAGAGGTGTTGAATTTAAAATGTGTGGTACACCTTTTAGGGTCCGTTTTGGAAAATGTGCGATATTTACGCCATTATAGGATCATTACAGAAAAGGTGCGATACGCCAATAGGGTCCATTTAAGAGGTTTGATGGATACGGGTAGGTAGCACTTGTGTATGAGAGTGACCCCGCCCCAACCCTCCTGGCCCCTACATAACAATGACACCGCCTTTGTATTCTAATCTACGGATATTGCATAGAAACATATAAACGTACATGGATATTCAAAATCCTCGCATCCCAGTATAGCTAGTTTCAAGAGCTAATTCTCTGAGAACTTGCAACCACTAAATATGACCCAATCTTAAATTTTGAAGAGCGTCATCACTGGCAGAGGCTGGAACATACACAGTCATTTAATGTGTTCTGTGCGTAATCTTTTTAGGCCTATAAAAGTAAACTTACTGTAGAGTACCCCTTCTGTAACAAACGTTCGTCATCATACAAGGAAAACAAAAATCGTTTCAAATGCGCATGCCTATATCTTCAATCTGTCGCCCTCAGACCTTATCACACTTTCGTTTAGTTAATTGGCTTCTATGTCAATTCTTTCTTTCTTTTCAAGGATGCATGATCGACAATTCTTAATCATACTTTGCTTAATACATACTTGACTTGTATACATAAACGAGACATTTTGCCTATGGCCTGCCGCCACATCTTACGCATAATCATGTTTTTGTAGTTATCTTTTATGGTTAACAGGTTACGACATAAGAGAATTCGGAAAAAGCGAGTTTAAAGATAACACAGAATAAATATACATAAACGAGAAAGTCATTTTGCCTATGGCCAAACGCGAAATTTTACTCATACTTTCAATCATTTTTTGCAATTATCTATTACGGTTTACTGGTTATGGCATAAGAGATTTCACTGAAAGCGATTTAAAGATAACACAGAAACTAAGGTTAAAGAAAAGTAAAGAATAAGAAGATAATAATGGTATGAAGATGATTATGACGATGATGATAGACAGGCGCGGATCTACGGGGGGGGGGTTTAGGGGGTTCAAACCCCCCCCCCCTTGGGCGGCCCAAAAAAAAAAAAAAAAAAAAAAAAAAGAAAGAAAGAAAAAAAGAAAGAAAAAAGAACGCACGCTGGAGAGAAACCCTTTCAAGTGCAAATATTGTGAGAAGATATTCAACTCATCTGGTAACTTAACCAAACACATGATAAAAAGGCTGGATATAACTGTGTATTAAGCTGTTACTTGATTTAAAAAGACGTTATCATGCACTGCTTTTTATGGTCTCCATTGTGTTAATAGATGCCAGGAAAACATCACTTACGGGGTTCAAATATATAAACACCCAAAAAAAATCGGCTCGCCGCTACGCGGCTCGTG